GGGGGGGGGTCCCAGCAAGGTTGGGGGTCAGGGGGGTGGGGTCTCACCAGGGTTTGGGGTCGGGGGGGCGCAGGGAGGGGGTCTCACCAGGGTGTGGGGTGATGGGGACGGGGTCTCACCAACAGGGGGGTGGGGTCTCCCCAGGGTTTGGGGTCAGGGGGGCGCAGGGAGGGGGTCTCACCAGGGTGTGGGGTGATGGGGACGGGGTCTCACCAAGGTTTGAGGTCACGGGGATGAAGGTTTGGGGTCAGGGGGGACGTGGGGATGGGGTCTCATCAGGGTTTGGGGCCATCAGGGTGAATTTTTGGGGCCGTTCCTTTGGGATTTCCACCCCGGGGATGATTTTTGGGGCCACCATTGTGATTTTTGGGGCTGTTCCTGGTGGGTTTGGGGCCATTCTGGGATGGATTTTGGGGTTGTTACTTCGGGATTTCCACCCCGGGGTTGATTTTTGGGGCTGTTCCTTTGGGATTTCCACCCCGGGGTTGACTTTGGGGCCATTCTGGGTGATTTCTGGGGCGGTTCCCGGCAGATTCGGTACCTTCGGAGTGGTGGGAGAGGATGAGGAGGCTGACGCAGGGATGATTTTTGGGGCCATTTTGGGTCAATTTTTGGGGCCGTTCCTTTGGGATTTCCACCCAGGGGATGATTTTTGGGGCCGTTCTGGGTGATTTTTGGGGCAGTTTCTGGTACCTTCGGAGTGGTGGGAGAGGATGAGGAGGCTGACGCAGGGATGATTTTTGGGGCCATTTTGGGTGGATTTTTGGGGCAGTTCCTGGTGGGTTTGGGGCCGTTCCTTTGGGATTTTTGGGGCAGATTCGGTACCTTCGGAGTGGTGGGAGAGGATGAGGAGGCTGACGCAGGGATGATTTTTGGGGCCATTTTGGGTCAATTTTTGGGGCCGTTCCTTTGGGATTTCCACCCCGGGGATGATTTTTGGGGCCACCAGGGTGATTTTTGGGGCTGTTCCTGGTGGGTTTGGGGCCATTCTGGGATGAATTTTGGGGTTGTTACTTTGGGATTTTCACTCCTGGGTTGAATTTTAGGGACGTTCCTTTGGGATTTCCACCCCAGGGATGAATTTTGGGGCGGTTCCCGGCAGATTCGGTACCTTCGGAGTGGTGGGAGAGGATGAGGAGGCTGACGCAGGGGTGAATTTTGGGGCCATTTTGGGATGATTTTTTGGGGCAGTTCCTGGTGGGTTTGGGGCCGTTCTGGGATGATTTTTTGGGGCTGTTCCTGTGGGATTTCCACCCCGGGGATGATTTTTGGGGCCACCAGGGTGATTTTTGGGGCAGATTCGGTACCTTCGGAGTGGTGGGAGAGGATGAGGAGGCTGACGCAGGCGGCGCCGGCGCCGGAGCCGAAGATGGTGATGCGCTGGGGGTCGCCCCCGAAGTGGCCGACGTTCTCGTGCAGCCACCGCAGCGCCTGGATCTGGTCCAGCAGCCCGTAGTTGCCCTTGGCCGCCTGGTCCCCCGTGCTCAGGAAGCCTGGGGGTGGGATTTCCACCCCGTGGATGATTTTGGGGGCCACCAGGGTGATTTTTGGGGCAGATTCGGTACCTTCGGAGTGGTGGGAGAGGATGAGGAGGCTGACGCAGGCGGCGCCGGCGCCGGAGCCGAAGATGGTGATGCGCTGGGGGTCGCCCCCGAAGTGGCCGACGTTCTCGTGCAGCCACCGCAGCGCCTGGATCTGGTCCAGCAGCCCGTAGTTGCCCTTGGCCGCCTGGTCCCCCGTGCTCAGGAAGCCTGGGGACATCGGGGACATCGTGGGGACATCGTGGGGACACCCAGGGGACGTTGGGGACACCACCAGGGGTGTTGGGGACATCACAGGGACATCGTGGGGACACCACGGGCACGTTGGGGACACCCGCCGGAGCCGAAGATGGTGATGCGCTGGGGGTCGCCCCCGAAGTGGCCGACGTTCTCGTGCAGCCACCGCAGCGCCTGGATCTGGTCCAGCAGCCCGTAGTTGCCCTTGGCCGCCTGGTCCCCCGTGCTCAGGAAGCCTGGGGACACCGGGGACATCGTGGGGACATCGTGGGGACACCCAGGGCACGTTGGGGACACCGCGGGGACACCGTGGGGACACTGGCAGGGACGTTGGGGACACCGTGGGGATATTGGGGACACCACCAGGGGTGTTGGGGACATCACAGGGACATCGTGGGGACACCACGGGCACGTTGGGGACACCCGGGGCATGCTGGGGACATCAGGGGGACATTGGGGACACCGTGGGGATATTGGGGACACCACCAGGGGTGTTGGGGACATCACAGGGACATCGTGGGGACATCATGGGGACACCACAAGGATGTTGGGGACACCAGGGGGACACCACAGGGACACCAGTAGGGAGGTTGGGGACACCACCAGGGGTGTTGGGGACATCACAGGGACATCGTGGGGACACCACGGGCACGTTGGGGACACCCGGGGCATGCTGGGGACATCAGGGGGACATTGGGGACACCGTGGGGACATTGGGGGGACACCACCAAGGACATTGGGGACACTGCCAGGGGTACTGGGGACACAACCAGGGGATGTTGGGGACACTGGGGATGTTGGGGACACTGGGGGACACCACGGGCACGTTGGGGACACCGGGGACATCGTGGGGACATCATGGGGACACCACAAGGATGTTGGGGACACCAGGGGGACACCACAGGGACACCAGTAGGGAGGTTGGGGACACCACCAGGGGTGTTGGGGACACTTTGGGGATGTGGGGGACACCACAAGGACATTGGGGACGCCGTGGACAAACCATCGGGGACACCACGGGGACGTTGGGGACATCGTGGGGACATCGTGGGGACACTGGCAGGGATGTTGGGGACACCATGGAGACATTGGTGACACCACCAAGGGATGTTGGGGACACCGCCAGGGGATGTTTGGGATGTTGGGGACACCAGGGGGACATCGCCAGGGATGTTGGGGACACAACCAAGGGATGCTGGGGACACCACGAGGACATTTGGGACAGCATGGGGACGTTGGGGACACCACAGGATCATTGGGGACAACACTGAGACATTGAGGACACTGCAAGGGACACGCGGGGACACGGCCAGGACGCGGTAGGGACACTGGGGACAGGGCCAGGACACGGCAGGGACACTGGGGACGTTGGGGACACTGGGGGACACCACGGGCACGTTGGGGACACCGGGGACATCGTGGGGACACCTCCAGGGGCATTGGAGACATCGTGGGGACACCGGGGGGACACTGGGGACACCAGGAACATCGTGGGGACATCATGGGGACATCACCAGGGACGTTGGGGACACTGGGGGGACACCAGCAGGGGTTTTGGGGACATTGGGAGGACATTGGGGACATCATGGGGACACTGCCAGGGACGTTGGGGACACTGGTGGAGATGTTTGGGACATTTGCAGGGGCACTGGGGACACTGAGGGGACACGTGGGGACACTGCCAGGACACCACAGTGACACTGGGGACAGGGCCAGGACGTTGGGGACAGGGCCAGGACACGGCGGGGACACGGCCAGGACACACACACACCATGTCCCCAATCCCCCCCGTCCCCAATGTCCCCAA